AAACGAAGATGAACGACACAGACCAGAATAAAATGCTACAGTTGTTGCCATGACGATGAGCCCACACTGTGTCACCTTTGACTCTGGCTAACGAGCAGGTGCCAGCGTCGAGCTAACGCTCATTAACCAGCCAACCACTGTTGACTCGTCACGTGTGGATGCATGTATGTATGTATGTATGTGTGTGTGTGTGTGTGTGTGTGTGTGTATGTGTGGGTGTATGCGTGTATGTATGTGTGTGTGTGTGTGTGTGTGTGTGTGTGTGTGTGTGTGTGTGTATGTATGTATGTATGTATGTATGTGTGTGTGTGTGTGTGTGTGTGTGTGTGTGTGTGTGTGTGTGTGTGTGTGTGTGTGTGTGTGTGTCAGGGTGTTGTAAGAAATGCATAGAAAGATTAGACATGAGTGAGGTGCTCTTTCAAACAGGTAGTTTATTGTATGATAGAAATACATGAAAAGTCCCCTTGAATGAGTCAGCGAAGGCTAACATAAAATCCTGAATGAGAGAGTGAGAGAGTACTATTTACTGTTAACTTTTTATTGTTTATTTCACTTTTGTTTATCTATTTAACTTGCTTTGGCAATGTAAAAATATGTTTCCCATGCCAATAAAGCCCCCTTGAAATGAATTGAATTGAGAGAGAGAGAGACAGAGAGAGCGAGAGACAGAAAGAGAGAGACAGAGAGAGCGAGAGACAGAGAGAGCGAGAGACAGAGAGAGCGAGAGACAGAGAGAGCGAGAGACAGAGAGAGCGAGAGACAGAGAGAGCGAGAGACAGAGAGAGCGAGAGACAGAGAGAGCGAGAGACAGAGAGAGCGAGAGACAGAGAGAGCGAGAGACAGAGAGAGCGAGAGACAGAGAGAGCGAGAGACAGAGAGAGCGAGAGACAGAGACAGAGAGAGCGAGAGACAGAGACAGAGAGAGACAGAGAGAGCGAGAGACAGAGACAGAGAGAGCGAGAGACACAGACAGACAGACACAGACAGACAGACAGACAGACAGACAGACAGACAGACAGACAGACAGACAGAACAGTCTGCAGCACCTGACCTCACCCTACTAGAATCTGAAGTCAAATGTCTACAGTTTGCTGATGATCTGGGCCCTGACAGTAAATCTCAGTAAGACAAAAATAATGGTGTTCCAAAAAAGGTCCAGTTGCCAGGACCACAAATACAAATTCCATCTAGACACTGTTGCCCTAGAGCACACAAAAAACTATACATACCTCGGCCTAAACATCAGCGCCACAGGTAACTTCCACAAAGCTGTGAACGATCTGAGAGACAAGGCAAGAAGGGCCTTCTATGCCATCAAAAGGAACATAAAATTCGACATACCAATTAGGATCTGGCTAAAAATACTTGAATCAGTTATAGAACCCAAATAATGCATGCAGAGCAGAATTAGGCCGATACCCGCTAATTATCAAAATCCAGATTAGAGCCGTTAAATTCTATAACCACTTAAAAGGAAGCGATTCCCAAACCTTCCATAACAAAGCCATCACCTAAAGTGAGATGAACTTGGAGAAGAGTCCCCTAAATCAGCTGGTCCTGGGGCTCTGTTCACAAACACAAACAGACCCCACAGAGCCCCAGGAAAACAACAACACAATTAGACCCAACCAAATCATGAGAAAACAAAAAGAGAATTACTTGACACATTGGAAAGAATTAACAAAAAAACAGAGCAAACTAGAATGCTATCTGGCCCTAAACAGAGAGTACACAGCGGCAGAATACCTGACCACTGTGACTGACCCAAAGTTAAGGAAAGCTTAATCTATGTACAGACTCAGTGAGCTTAGCCTTGCTATTGAGAAAGGCCGCCGTAGGCAGACCTGGCTCTCAAGAGAAGACAGGCTATGTGCACACTGCCCACAAAATGAGGTGGAAACTGAGCTGCACTTCCTAACCTCCTGGCAAATGTATGACCATATTAGAGACACATATTTCCCTCAGATTACAGCGATCCACAAAGAATTCGAAAACAAACCCAATTTTGATAAACTCCCTTATCTACTGGGTGAAAAACCACAGTGTGCCATCACAGCTGCAAGATTTGTGACCTGTTGCCACAAGAAAAGGGCAACCAGTGAAGAACAAACACCATTGTAAATACAACCCATATTTATGTTTATTTATTTTCCCATTTGTACTTTAACTATTTGCACATTGTTACAACACTGTATATATACATAATATGACATTTGAAATGTCTTTATTCTTTTAGAACTTCTGAGTGTAATGTTTACTGTTAATATTTATTGTTTATTTCACTTTTGTTTACTATCTACTTCACTTGCTTTGGCAATGTTAACATACGTTTCCCATGCCAATAAAGTTGAGAGACAGAGAGACAGACAGAGAGAGAGACAGAGACAGAGACAGACAGAGAGAGAGAGAGAGACAGAGACAGAGACAGACAGAGAGAGAGAGAGAGAACAGTGCTGATTTGTTGTCCTTTGCTTCTCTCTCTCTGTGAGCCAGAACTCCCGCTATTACAGTCACGAGGCAACACACACACACACACACAGCTACACACACAGCTACACACTCTTACCGCACTGTGTGATGTAGTCAATGCAGCGGTCCACTATAACAGGGATGTCAGTCTCAGTTAGTTGCTGCTGACTAAGAGAGTCTCCTGCACTGCCTGCTGCTCTCTGGATGGACACACACCAACCCTGGAAGTCAAGCTTCCTCTCCCCCTCGATGTACAGAGTCCTGGAGGGAGGGGGGAGGGAGGCATGGAGAAAGGGGTGGTAGGAAGAATGAGAGGGAGAGGCAGAGGAAGGAGGGAGGGAGAGTGGGGATAACAGGAAGGGGGAGAGGGAAGATAGTAGAATTTCAAACCTCTTTAGTGGGTCAATATAATAGTGCTCATTTAGCCTCCTATTCAGTCCTGTTTCAACTCTTCCATTCCCCTGAACAAACAACAAACAGAATGTAAACATAAGTGTTGTTAGAAAGTCAGAGGCAATATGGCAGCACTATCCTCTCACCTGCCTCTCTCCACCAGAACCAGCACCTCATTCTCCTGCTGGATCGCTGTGCAAACACACATATGGAACAATTTAATGTAATGGTGGTACAAACAGTGTGTATGTGTGTGTGTGTGTGTGTGTGTGTGTGTGGTCTTGTTCTTCTGTCCTTGTGGGGACCTGAAATCCCCAATTGTCCCTACAAGGATAGTAAAACAAGGAAAATTCTCCCTCGTGGGGACACCATTCTCACATCCCCATGAGGACAAAGGCTATTTTAAGCTTAAGGGTTAGATTTAGGGTTAGGGTTAGGGTTACAATTAGGGTTAGAGTTAGAATTAGGTTTAGGCTTTAGGTTTAGGTTTAGGGGTTAAGGTTAGAGGCTAAGGTTAGGGAAAATAGGATTTTAAATGGAAATACATTTTAGGTCCCCACAAGGATAGAAGAAGTGTGTGTGTTTGTACTCACAGAGCTCCTGTAGTTTGCGTAGGTGTATCTCCTCCTCTTCCTCACTGTCCTCTAGGTAGGCATGGAGGGAGGAGCCAACCAGTGCGAACCAGCCAACCCGAGGGCTCTGTAGGTTCAACCCGTCTTTGTACTTCAGCCGGCCAATCCGCTCAAAGCTCAGTCTCAACAGAGCCTCTGCATTGGGCGGAATAAACGTCTGGGGAGAAGAGGGGAAGTTAAATGTGTTCAAGGACACATCCCACAGCTGAGCCTTGACCTTGATTACCTAGGTGATGGTCAGTGTGAGTGGTTTCCTAGGCGTCGGTCAGTGTGAGTGGTTACCTAGGCGATGGTCAGTGTGAGTGGTTCCCTAGGTAAGGGGTTTTCAAACTTTTCTTGCCCAGGGACCACCGCCAAGGCAAACCGGCGACCCCCATCATATGTTAGCAATAAATCAATAAATCACGTCTTGTCTTATCAGGTGAATGGAAAGTAGAAGCAATCAACATTTTAAAATTCATCGATTTTGACCTCCCCACAGTTCATTGAAAGAGGAATTATAAACTCTAACATAGTATATTAGCTAGAAAGGTAAAAGTATCTTGGCAGCGTAGAGACAATTTTACTGTTTTCTGCAATTCTATGCATTTTGCCATGGCTAATGCTGTGTTCCTCTGCTCAAACATTATAACAAAATCAACTGGCATGTGCCCTGAATACACTGTTTTTTCGATTCTCCTTGACTTCTCAGATGGTATTATTTAAAAATATATATATTTTATCTGGTTTTGGTCATTTAAGTTGACACTAAAACTGTTTTTGCAATATGAAAATTACCACTTAGACGGCCCGCCTAAGAATTTTTGGTAACACTTTACTTGACACCCAGCGTCATAACACGTTATGACAAGGTCATAACCATGTCATGATGTCATAAAAGCTGACATAACTTCTCAGAATCTGTCATAATATGGTCATAACACTGTCCTGACCCATATATTTACACCTCTTCTGACATATATTGCATAATTTATTCAAAAGTGTTTTTTCCCTGCCGAGCAGTTTACTTCTGTTTGAAAGTTTGTTTCTTAAGTCCTTTGTTGTTGTTGTTGTTGTTGTTGTAATGAATTCTTTACATTCATATTTCAAATAACTTGTAGAGAATACACTTGATGACACTGTCATAAAGCATTATGACCATCCTGTGTCACTTTACTTGGACTCGTAAATGTCCTTTAAATTGTTGCTAGCAGCACAGTTACAGTCACTAACGCTCTAGATAACATGAAAACAGCCTAACTAGCTCTGCTAGGGCGAATAGAATGGTCAGAGTGAGGTGTTCTCTTATTTGTATAAGGAAGTACATTTACATTTTACATTTTAGTCATTTAGCAGACGCTCTTATCCAGAGCGACTTACAGTTAGTGAATACATATTTTTTATATATTTTTATTGTTTTTCATACTGGTCCCCCTTGGGAATCGAACCCACAACCCTGGCGTTGCAAACGCCATGCTCTATCAACTGAGCTACATCCCTGCCGGCCATTCCCTCCCCTACCCTGGACAACGCTAGGCCAATTGTGCGCTGCCCATGAGTCTCCCGGTCGCGGCCGGCTGCGACAGAGCCTGGATTCGAACCAGGATCTCTAGTGGCACAGCTAGCACTGCAATGCAGTGCCTTAGACCACTGCGCCACTCAGGAGACTAAGTAGCTAGCAAGCTAGCCAATGTTAGCCAGTCAGCTTGGGCGCTTGACTGCCGTTGTGAGGTCAGACTCGGATCAACTCTAATCCTCGGTCAGATAAACATTAAATGGCACATGGTTATATCTGTGTGGTTGTTTCAAGTCCAATGCGCTCCGGCTGTTTGAGGGGTGCACATCACCAGCAAAGTCCTTTGTATCATTTTACTTTGTCTGTGAAAACCATTAGCACAGGCAAGTTTAGCCAGTCATTTATTTATTAATATATGGCTCTTGGATTAGCTACAGTATACCACAGCCTCTGCCATAGAAACAAAGGGAGCATGCCTTTGTGTCCGTGGTTACACCTTTAAATGCAGAAAACCGTTCCTCTTTAGCCCCCCAAAAATACTTATTTTACTGGAGTTACATTTCTTTTCTTTCTGCCGCAGATTCGTGGGACGCTCTTAAAGGGGTACACACAAATGAACCATCATGAGTAAGGAACTATGAAAATATTTCAAATAAACCCTATTTAATATATAAAAGCTTTTGTCATAGAAAATAGATGATTTGCAGTATGGATCAAATGGAGGTCATTACCACTAAATCAATTGAGAAATGTACACTACATGTCCAAAAGTGCTCGTTGAACATCTCACTCCAAAATCATGGGCATTAATATGGAGTTGGATCCCCCTTTGCTGCTATAACAGCCTCTACTCTTCTGGGAAGGTTTTTCACTAGATGTTGGAACATTGCTGCCGGGACTTGCTTCCATTCAGCCACAAGAGCATTAGTGAGGTCGGGCACTGATGTTGGGCGATTAGGCCTGGCTCGCAGTCGGTGTTCCAATTCATCCCAAATGTGATCGATGCGGTTGAGGTCAGGGCTCTGTGCATGGTGATCTTAGGCTTGTGTGCGGCTGCTCGACCATGGAAACCCATTTCATGAAGATCCCGACGAACAGTTCTTGTGCTGACGTTGCTTCCAGAGGCAGTTTGGAACTCGGTAGTGCGTATTGCAACCGAATACAGACATTTTTTACGCACTACTTGCTTCACTGATCCCGTTCTGTGAGCTTGTGTGGCCTACCACTTCGCAGCTGAGCCGTTGTTGCGCCTACACGTTACCACTTCACAATAACAGCACTTACAGTTGACCTGGGAAGCTCTAGCAGGGCAGAAACTTGACGAACTGACTTGTTGGAAAGGTGGCATCCTATGAGGGTGCCATGTTGAAAGTCACTGAGCTCTTCAGTAAGGCCATTCTACTGCCAATGTTTTTCTATTGAGATTGCATGGCTGTGTGCTCGATTTTATACACCTGTCAGCAATGTTTGTGGCTGAAATAGCCAAATCCACTAATTTGAAGGGGTGTCCACATACTTTTGTATATATTGTGTAGTTGTGCCGCAGAATTTTATATCCCATCAAGGTGTGCCACGGTTCAAGAAAGGTTGGGAACCACTGACCTAGGTGATGGTCAGTATGAGTGGTTACCTAGGTAAGGGTCAGTGTGTGGTTACCTTGGTGATGGATTTGACCCACTCCATGTGGCTGTCTGGGTCGTCAGTTCCAAACAGATAGACACGCTCAGAGTCCGAGTACAGCTTAAACGTATGGTCATAGCTGAGAGAGAAAGGGAGAGAGATTGTTAAGCAATTAAGAGGGAAAGACTGGTTTAGAGTGATGGAAGAATAGAGTGTTTGGTAGGTACCCGTGTCTCTCTGGTGTGTTGACAGCCAGACAGACTATCTCTGTAGACTTCAGTGCTCCGTTGGGTGTAGAGTTCTTGTCACTCTCGTAGTAACTAAAGTTCCCATCATTTAACGTGCACCAGCGACGACTGAACTCTGGAGAGACAAGAGCAACCAGAGAGGACACACATCATTCACAGAGGACACAATTTGACCAAGCCAGCATCATCACCTTGAGCTAGGTGAGAGGAAGGGACTAGAGGACCAGAGGAAAGAACTTGGGGAAGGGACTAGAGGAAGGGACTAGGGAAAGGGAAAGGGACTATGGGAAGGGACTATGGGAAGGGAAAGGGACTATGGGAAGGGACTATGGGAAGGGACTATGGGAAGGGAAAGGGACTATGGGAAGGGACTAGGGAAAGGGAAAGGGACTATGGGAAGGGACTAGAGGACTAGAGGAAGGGACTAGAGGAAGGGACTAGAGGAAGGGACTAGAGGAAGGGACTAGAGGAAGGGGAAGGGACTATGGGAAGGGAAAGGGACTATGGGAAGGGACTAGAGGACTAGAGGAAGGGACTAGAGGAAGGGACTAGAGGAAGGGACTAGAGGAAGGGACTAGAGGAAGGGGAAGGGGCTATGGGAAGGGACTAGAGGACTAGAGGAAGGGACTAGAGGAAGGGACTAGAGGAAGGGACTAGAGGAAGGGACTAGAGGAAGGGGAAGGGACTATGGGAAGGGACTAGAGGAAGGGAAAGGGACTATGGGAAGGGACTAGGGGAAGGGACTATGGGAAGGGACTAGAGGAAGGGACTAGAGGACTAGAGGAAGGGACTAGAGGAAGGACTAGGGGACTAGGGGAAGGGACTAGAGGAAGGACTAGGGGACTAGGGGAAGGGACTATGGGAAGGGACTAGAGGACTAGAGGAAGGGACTAGAGGACTAGAGGAAGGGACTAGAGGAAGGACTAGAGGACTAGAGGAAGGGACTAGAGGAAGGACTAGGGGACTAGGGGAAGGGACTATGGGAAGGGACTAGAGGACTAGAGGAAGGGACTAGAGGAAGGACTAGGGGACTAGGGGAAGGGACTATAGGTAGGGACTACGGGAAGGGACTTGGGGAAGGGACTAGAGGACTAGAGGAAGGGACTAGAGGAAGGACTAGGGGTAGGGACTAGGGGAAGGAACAAGAGGACTAGAGGACTAGAGGAAGGGACTAGAGGAAGGACTTGGGGTAGGGACTAGGGGAAGGAACTTGGGGAAGGGACTAGAGGACTAGAGGAAGGGACTAGGGGAAGGACTAGGGGTAGGGACTACTGGAAGGGACTTGGGGAAGGGAGTAGAGGACTAGAGGAAGGGACTAGAGGACTAGAGGAAGGGACTAGAGGAAGGACTAGGGGTAGGGACTAGGGGAAGGAACAAGAGGACTAGAGGAAGGTACAAGAGGAAGGGACTAGGGGAAGGGACTAAGGAAGAAACTAGGGTGTGTGTGATTGGCTCACCCTCCCTGGCCTTGCGCTCCGTGATAGGCCGGACCATAGAGGCAGTCTTGAAAAGGAAACCATTGTGAGTGACGGAGTGCTGTGGTGAATAGTGTTGAGGCTCCATGACCCCAGCCACCTCAAACCTAGGCAGCTCTGCAGACACACAACAACACGCACACTCATTATTAAACAGGAATAAACAACATGTAAATATGTGAATTAATAAAAACGAACATGAATATACAGCTGTGGAAAAAATTAAGAGACCACTGCAAATGTTTCTTAAATCAGCATCTCTACATGTATGAAAACGATCTCTACTGACCGGGATGACCGCCAACTCATTCGAATGTCACTCAACAACCGTAGGATGACATCAAGTGACCTAGAAAAAGAATGGCAAACGGCAGCTGGGGTGAAGTGCACGGCGAGGACGGTTTGAAACAGGCTCCTAGGGGCAGGGCTGAAGTCGTGCAAAGCTAGAAAAAAGGCCTTCATCAATGAGAAGCAAAGAAGAGCCAGGCTGAGGTTTGCAAAAGACCATAAGGATTGGACCGTAGAGGACTGGAGTAAGGTCATCTTCTCTGATGAGTCCAATTTTCAGCTTTGCCCAACACCTGGTCGTCTAACGGGTTAGACGGAGACCTGGAGAGGCCTACAAGCCACAGTGTCTCGCACCCACTGTGAAATTTGGTGGAGGATCGGTGATGATCTGGGGGTGCTTCAGCAAGGCTGGAATCGGGCAGATTTGTCTTTGTGAAGGACGCATGATTCAAGCCACATACAAGGTTGTCCTGGAAGAAACTTGCTTCCTTTTGCTCTGACATTGTTCCCCAATTCCGAGGATTGGTTTTTCCAGCAGGAAAGTGCGCCATGCCACACAACCAGGTCAATCAAGGTGTGGATGGAGGACCACCAGATCAAGACCCTGTCATGGCCAGCCCAATATCCAGACCTGAACCCCATTGAAAACTTCTGGAATGTGATCAAGAGGAAGATGGATGGTCACAAGCCATCAAACAAAGCCGAGCTGCTTGAATTTTTGCGCCAGGAGTGGCATAAAGTCACCCAACATCAATGTGAAAGACTGGTGGAGAGCATGCCAAGACGCATGAAAGCTGTGATTGAAAATCAGGTTATTCCACCAAATATGGATTTCTGAACTCTTCCTAAGTTAAAACATTACTATTGTGTTGTTTAAAAATGAACACGAACATATTTTCTTTGCATTATTCGAGGTCTGACAACACTGCATCTTTTTTGTTATTTTTACCAGTTGTCAATTTCTGCAAATAAATGCTCTAACTTCCAATATTTCTATTTGGAATTTGGGAGAAATGTTGTCAGTAGTTTATAGAATAAAACAAAAATGTTATTTTTACCCAAACACATACCTATAAATAGTAAAACCAGAGAAACTGATCATTTTGTAGTGGTCTCTTACTTTTTTCCGGAGCTGTATATGAATAAACATAAGCATGCTATCTGTCAACATGAGTGTGTGTGTGTGTGTGTGTGTGTGTGTGTACCTGTGTTGAGGTTGTGTGAGAGGAACTCGGCCTGTAGTTTCTGGTTGTGTGTGAGTGCCAGGGAGAGGGGGGAGGGACAGTCAGCCTGGCCAGTAGAACAGTTCACATCAGCTCCACAGAAGACCAGACACAATGTCTCCAGCACATCACTGCACTGTACGTTTATACACAGGGCCTGGAGAGGGAGAGGGAGAGGGAGAGGGAGAGGGAGAGGGAGAGGGAGAGGGAGAGGAGAGGAGAGAGAGGAGAGAGAGAGAGAGAGAGTGGGGGGGGGGGGGGGGTGGGGTAGGAGGGATAATTGTTAAAAATTCATAAAATGTTCTGATCACTTTGTCAGTATTACCTAGTAGGAACTAACTTGGCTGCCATGGAATGGTGTGATTCTGAGAAGGAGCTTTTTTGGTTGAAACAGCAGTGACCAGACTCGTTGTAGCGGTCTCACAGCAGTATTAGTAAACTTGATTCTGAATTCATGGTTCAGGGTCTCAGGCAGTTCTAAAACAGTGTGACACATAACCTACGACATTCCACAAGCCTACACATTCCAAACCTTACTCCAACCTACAGTCCACCTGTTGTGGTTGGGCAAAGCAGTGGTGCAGCCTGACTCAGAGCTGTGGTTCATAACAATCCACTCTTAAAGTGTTTCTCAACTGAGACCAATGACTCACATCTCTGAGGACTTTAAGGTTGAGGCTACAGGGAGGTACAATCCTCCAGGGTGTAGGGACTGGGACAGGGACAGGGCAGGAGTATATTGGATGAGGGGACAGGTTAACTCAGAACCAGGCTAGGAAATTAAACCAGGTCAGGAAGAGAGGGAGAGACTGCTCCATTGAGAGAGAAAGATAGAAACCAGGAGAGATGGAGAGATAGAGGGAGGGAAGAAAGGAGGGTGTTTTTACAGCTGAGCTCAATGCAGCCTTGCAGCTGGAGCACACTGAGCCCTAAACAGTAACAAATGCCTTATTACACACACACACACACACACACACACACACACGCACACACATGCACACACGCGCACACACACACACACACACACACACACGCGCACGCACACTGTGGCACTCTCTCTGAACCAACAACCCACCTCATCCTTCTCCTGCTCTCTCCTCCGCTCTCATTCTCCCTCCTTCTCTCCTCCTCCTCCTCCTCCTCCTCCTCTCTCCTTCGCTCTCCTCCTCCTCCTCTCTCCTTCTCCTTCTCCTCCTCCTCCTCCTCCTGCTCTCCTTCTCCTTCTCTCTCCTCCTCCTTCTCTCTCCTCCTCCTTCTCCAATTCTCTCCTCCTCTCTTCTGCTCTCTCCTTCTCTCTCCTCCTCCTCCTCTCTCCTTCTTCTACTCTCTCCTTCTCCTTCTCTCTCCTCCTCCTCCTCCTCTCTCCTCCTCTCTCCTTCTGCTCTCTCATTCTCCTCCTCTCTCCTCCTCCTTCCCTCTCCTGTATATTTTTCTTCTCCATATCCCTCCCATCAGTCCCATGAGGGAAGCTCAGAGTCAGACACACACACACTCAGGTGTGAGCTATAGCACCAATCAGGTCACAGGAGGGCTGAGCAACAAGAGAAGAAAAAGTCCTCTGGGAAATAAGTGTTTCAAGACTTCCAGCACACACACACACACACACACACACACACACTAACACTAACACACACACACACACAGACACACAGACACACAGGGAGGAATCCAATATTTTTAGACAACCCCTGGAGAGAGCGAGAGAGAGACAGCGAGATATGTTTTTCAGAGGATCGAGTGGACTGCACTCTATACCCTGGGTGTGTCTCCGAAAACATAACTCTCAGTTAGCTACAGTCCTCTCAGTTAGCTACAGTCCTCTCAGTTAGCTACAGTCCTCTCAGTTAGCTACAGTCCTCTCAGTTAGCTACAGTCCTCTCAGTTAGCTACAGTCCTCTCAGTTAGCTACAGTCCTCTCAGTTAGCTACAGTCCTCTATCCTCCCCTCCCTCTATCCTCCCCCTATCTCCCCTCCCCCTATCCTCCCCCCATCCTCCCCCATCTCCCCACTCCCTCTATTCTCCCCCTCCCTCTATCCTCCAACTAACAAAGGTTTTACACACATGGAAAGCAGAGGATCACACATGCACACACAAACACACACAAACACACACGATAGACACACGAGACAGGAAGAATGAAGTGTGATCCATATGTTCCAGCATTACCTCACTAGAGAGACCTAGCAGACAGAGAGGGAAAACAAGGCTGAGGAGAAAAACAGAGAGAGAGTGATATGAAAGGAAGAGAGGAGAAAATTAATAGAAAGAGAGAAAAGAGAGAAACAGGGAAGAAAGAGAAAATGGAGAAATAGGGAACAAAGAGATGAGTAAAAGAGGGGTAAGGAAAGAGAGAAAGAGTGAAGCCGTGTCCTAGTAACTGATCCATACAAGATATCTCCCTCTTTTCCTGGCAGCCGTATTGACACACATCCAAAGTCCAAACAAACAACCCCATAAATGGTTTAGTGTAGTCAGCCACACCCACGCTTCTAGCGCGCACCGCTAACTAGCTAGCCATTTCACACCGGTTACATGTGACTCCATGTGTTCTTTGTGTGGTCAGATTCTCCAGAGTCTCACCTTTCTGAATCGACAGCCTTGTACAAGTCCGCTCCCTCTCCCACTCTGCTGAACTATGCTACCATCTTACAGCACATCACTGCTAAACTACAGGTAACTGCCAAAATAAAGGAAACACTTGAGTAAATGAAGAATACAAAGTATATTGAAAGCAGGTGCTTCCACACAGGTGTGGTTCCTGACTTAATTAAGCAATTAACAACCCATCATGCTAAGGGTCATGTATTAAACATGCCCAGTTGCCCATTATTTTGGCTACCATGGCTAGAAGAAAAGATCTCAGCTGTGTTTGAATACCCATACTAACATACTGTATACTACATACTTAATGAGTATATACTACATACTATATACTATTAGTTCCTTTTACGCTCTGGCCGAGGAGTAGGGTTGATCCGAGCGTTCTGACCTCCCAATGGCACTCAAGCACCCAAGCTAACTGGCTAACTTGCTAGCTACTTCCAGACACAAATGAGAGAACACCTCACTCTGAACATTTCACTCGCCCTAGCAGAGCTGGTTAGGCTGTTTTCATGTTATATGGAGCTTTGGTGACTGTAACTGTGCTGCTGGCAACAATTTAATTACGCTTTTTTGCCAACGTTTACTGACACCGGCCACATTCAACTGGTGTTGAGTGTTCGTAAATTCATCAGTTATTCTGCGCTCTGGCACAGATATACTCAGACGAGAGTGCTCTGAAATCGGAGTAGATAGCCAGAGCGAATTTACGAACACATCCGAATGTCCATTGAGAACACACAACAACTATATCACTTAGCTAAACTAAGAATGACGGGAATAATCAAGTCAATAAACGTTGAATAGTTAGTTAGATAGCATATAGTTAATATACTGGCAAGTTCGATGTATTAATAGCCAACTAACGTTAGGTAGCTAGCTAACATACCGGTACATACTGCTGTAAGGATAGAGTAGCTAAGAAATTGTCAGCCAACATAACGTGTAAGGTAACTTATTTGAAAAGTCATTACTCTATTACATTGCTCAACATTTTCTTAACATTTGTCATAATTAGTTAAAGCAATGAATTTGTATCCGCTCTCTTTGGACTTCGGCTGCATATTTTCCGGTATTTTCTTCAAATTTGAAAACGTTGCGAAGCCACACCCATTTTCTGAAGAATTGCATTATGGGCACTAAAAGCACGGAAATAGTGTCCACTTCTTGTATACTTCGTATTTTGCCGAATGTAGTATGACATCCGGGAACTTTTGGCATACTAACTATATCCATACTATGACCAATAAGCATACTATATATGCAATTGACGTCACAAATAGTACGGTTAGTATGATTATTCGAACACAGCTAGTGACTTTGAAAGAGGGGTCTCAAAGGAGCATAGGGGGTTTAAAGGGTGTGTGTGTGTGTGTGTGTGTCTCAGTCACCAGATCTCAACTCAATTGAACACTTATGGGAGATTCTCCAGCAGTGTCCGAGACAGTGTTTTCCACCACCATAAACAAAACACCAAATTATGGAATTTCTCGTGGAAGAATGGTGTCGCATCTCTCCAATAGAGTTCCAGACACTTGTAGAATCTATTCCAAGGCGCATTGAAGCTGTTGTGGTGGCTCGTGGTGGCCCAACGCCCTATTAAAACACTTAGTTACCTGTATGCTAGCATCTCATGGCACATCACTGTTAAACTATGTTAGCATCTTACAGCGCATCACAGCTAAACTATGTTAGCGTCTTATATCACATCAATGCTAAACAATGTTAGCGTCTTATAGCACATCACTGCTAAACTATGTTGGCATCTTATAGCATATTACTACTAAACTATGTTAGCATCTTATAGTATATCACTGCTAACAAAATGCTAGCATCTTATAGCACATCACAGCTAAACTATGCTCACATCTTATAGCACACACTGCTAAAGTATGTTAGCATCTTATAGTATATCACTGCTAAACTATGCTAGCATTTTATAGTATATCTCTGCTAAACTATGTTAGCATCTTATAACATATCACTGCTAAACTATGCTATCATCTTATAGCTAGTGCCAGGAGTTTTTCCTGCTCGACTGACATGGTCAGGAAGAACTTGGATCCTCATTTGATTGCTAAGCTACACAGTTATAGTGAAGCTAAATTATGTAAACTTTTCTAGCATCCCACAGTACAGGCTAGCACTGCTTTTACATGGCTGCCATTCTACCCCACAGCTAACCTCCACATGCTAATTCATCAACCAACCCAGTGATTAGACAGGAACTGAGAATATTAGTTTGAAAGTGTGACTGTAGGCTGACAGTGCTATGAGACGCGGAGTGTGTGTGTGGATGGTTTCGGATATGTTTGTGTGTGTTAGTGGTTTAGGAGTTTCTTCATTTGTCTGTGTGGTTCAACCCTACACCCCAACCCGAGCATTCCGTTCTGCAACCTCTGGTCTCTTGGCCCTCCCACCCCTACGAGGGGCCGGCTCATCCCAGACAAATCTCTTGTCTGTCCTGGCACACCACCGATGGTGGAACAAGCTTCCCACTAACTTCAGGCCAGCTGAGTCACTGCCAATCTTCAGAAAACTTCTGAAAATCTACC